CTCTCTCTCTCTCTCTCTCTCTCTCTCTCTCTCTCTCTCTCTCTCTCTCTCTCTCTCTCTCTCTAATTCCAAGGCATTGCTGGCAATTTCCACCGCTCATGCCACTCCACAAACACCACCTCTTTTGAGAAAGTGTCAAATGTTTCAATCATAGCAAGGTACTCGTGGGACTCCTTGCTCACCTCCAGATCTGATCGTCGCTTTACAGTGAGCGGCAGCCAGACAATGCGAGAGCTGCTGAGATCGCTTTCCCGCCATCGATCTGCAACAAAAATGTACTGTCCAGGAATACCTGGCAAAGGCAAAACAAATGTACTCTGTGAGCGAAACGTCTCGTCCCTTGCCTTTTCTGTACCTCCAACCATCGGATTGCCGATCGTTTTCCAGGGCCCTACGATCGACCTTGCTTGATGAATAAAAGCTCGATTTGGTTTCCAGCTCGTGCATCCAGAAGTGATTAAGAAATATTCATTCTTGTACTTAAAGACGGCAGGTGCTTCCCTCTCCATCTTTTCAAACTGCTGTGTGTACTCACGTTCAACCGCGAGGTAGTCGTCCCGCAGGCGAGTGATATGGAGCACGCTGTTCCCTTGCGAAGAGTAGAAGAGATACGCGCTTCCGTCGTCATCTTGAAACACCGTCATGTCCCGACTCTCTTGCCCGTTAGGTCTGAAACTTCCATGGTATCGGAACGGCCCCTCGGGTCTCGAGCTCGTAGCGACGCCCACCGACGCCTTCTGGTAGTTTGCATCATCGACATGAAGCCACATCACATACTTACCAGTTCTGTCATTGTAGATGACCTTCGGTCGTTCCAGCACTCGACTGATGTGGAGGTCGCTCGCTGCGTCTTGTTTCTCCGCCGACAAGACCACTCCCAAGTTTTCCCATGCCCACAGATCCTTGGACTTATAGCAGCTAACACCAATCAAGTCAACCTGATCACGCAGCGCAGCCAGAGAACGCGACAACAGGTAAACAAATTAGACTCCCTTATTTTCAGAGACAAATTCAGACAATACCCCTTTCTGACAAAGGGTGATCCATCTTCTGCACAGCCTGTGCCAGCAGTGATGCAGCTGGTCTTGGGGGGCAAAGGAGGAGCGGACATGCACGGCATTTTTTGTCAATTTGCATGTGACATAATCCTTGCGAAGGGACCATGATAACCTTCTTCTCTCTATCGTTCAGACGGGTCGAGGGACAGCACAGCACCTTCTTTTCAATCATCATCCGTTCATCCTCTTGTTTTTCGTGAGGGAACTTACATCAGCCTGCAGCCAACTGTAGGTCGGGTGCCCGAGAGACTTCTTCAGGTTTGATCCTTGCTGTGATCTTCCCACCAACATATGGGCCTTCTCTCTCTCTCTCTCTCTCTCTCTCTCTCTCTCTCTCTCTCTCTCTCTCTCTCTCTCTCTCTCT